GGTTCTGGAAAGAACGGTGCCTTTACTTATTAATCGAACAGATAAAGGTTTCATAAACAGCCTCTTACTAATTGCCCAGAGATTATAATGATTCGAATCTCCTCCACATCTCATTTCATCCTTACCCATTTCGCCTTACCTGCTTTGTTTACATGCGGCAACTCAGCAGGTCTTACAAATAAGCCTTCTGAGAAAAAAACGGTTCTGGAAAGAACGGTGCCTTTACTTATTAATCGAACAGATAAAGGTTTCATAAACAGCCTCTTACTAATTGCCCAGAGATTATAATGATTCGAATCTCCTCCACATCTCATTTCATCCTTACCCATTTCGCCTTACCTGCTTTGTTTACATGCGGCAACTCAGCAGGTCTTACAAATAAGCCTTGGGATGTGGTCTCCAGTGAATTTCACCGTCTTCTCTACAATGGGCCAGCCCCTTGGCTTGGTAAGGGTCATCTCTGAGGTTAAAGACCAGCCGTGGGAATTAGAAAGCTTCATTCTGTGTTTTCACAGGCATGGCTGATCTCTGTGTGGTTGTTTCAGGTCTTTGTGTCTCAAATGGAAAAAGCTAACAGGCCAGATTCAGAAAGGTGGTTAAATGCTATTGGAATTTTAGGGACTTGGGATGCACCTATCAGGGGAGGGGGTTGGGCATGGGGGGGTTGAGGGCAGGAGATGAGAGGAGCATGCATCAGGGTAGGGGGTGGGAGGTGCAGGACTCGGGGCAGGGGACTGGGAGACGGGGGAACTTACCAGAGCTGCCTGAGGCATTGATAGAGGTGCTGCCCCAGTGACAGCTTCTCCCAGGGGGTCGGAACTGTGCTCCCCAGCTGGTGACTCACCCCATGGGGCTGGGGCTGCGTAGGCCGGCCCTGCCTGGCAGCTTGTTCAGAAAAGAGAAGATTGAGGGGGGACATGATAGCAGTTTTCAGGTATCTAAAAGGGTGTCGTAAGGAGGAGGGAGAAAACTTGTTCATCTTGGCCTCTGAGGATAGAGCAAGAAGCAATGGGCTTGAACTGCAGCAAGGGAAGTTAAAGTTGGACATTAGGAGAAACTTCCTACCTGTCCGGGTGGTGAAACACTGGAATAAATTGCCCAGAGAGGATGTGGAATCCCCATCACTGGAGACATTGAAGAGCAGGTTGGACAAACACCTGTCAGGGATGATCTAGATGGTGCTTAGTCCTGCCTGGAGGACAGGGGACTGGACTTGATGACCTCTTGAGGTCGTAAGTTCTAAGATTCTGTGACAAAGGCTGGACAAAGGCACCATTACACACTCAGGGTATGTCTACACTATCCCCCTTGTTCGAACTAGGGGGGGTAATGTAGTCATACGGAGTTGCAAATAAAGGCCGGGATTTGAATTTCCCGGGCTTCATTTGCATAAAGCCGGCCGGCGCCATTTTTAAATGCCGGCTAGTTCGGACCCCGTGCCTCGCGGCTACACGCGGCATGGACTAGCTAGTTCGGATTAGGCTTCCGTGTAGCCACGCGGCATGGGGTCCGAACTAGCCGGCATTTAAAAATGGCGCCGGCCGGCTTTATTCAAATGAAGCCCGGGAAATTCAAATCCCGGGCTTCATTTGCAACTCCATATGACATTACCCCCACTAGTTCGAACTAGGGGGGTAGTGTAGACATACCCTCATACAGGGAGTGGATTAAATCTTCTTCACTCATCGGAGGAGTCTTAAGGTTTTCCATGAACCAGGGGATGCAAGTGGGTATGAGAATTTTATGCTATATGGAGAAAGCCCACAGTCAAATCTCATGAATCATTATTATATGGGGAAACGTAATAAAGCTGTGCTTTACTGCAGACAGGTCAAAGTGAGCGCAGACTTTGTTAAGGTTCTTAAATATAAGATGAGCACAGACTTTGTTAAGGTTGTTAAATATATATTTAATTAGTTTTCCAAGGGTTCTGCCCACTTTCATCAAAACCAATAAGAGCCTCGTGTTTTACTTCCCTGGGATCAAACCAGACTCCTAGTCTGTGTTACCCAGGGTTTTCTGAACCCACAGCAGTGGTAAGTTATATGTTATCCTCCAGGCAGTCAGGAATAAATCAATAGGAACACAGCAATCCTATCTGATAATTTGAGTAAATATGCTTAATCTAAAACTGCAGGTCGATAGGCCAGGTCCTCAGTATGAGGGGAGGTCAGATGAAGATATGTAATTCCAGATACATAAGAAACATATCTGGAGTTGACATACCTTAAACCAAGCTTCAACACCATCCTCCCTGCAGCACGCCAAGGGGAGAAACACTACCATTGACTTCCCTTACTCCTCGTGAAGAGTAGGAGTATCAGTGTCAAAGGGGGAGCACTGAGCATTTTATTTAGTTGATCTTCCCTCCTGCAGTGGCACCCCTGGTGGCTCTGGTGTACGCCTGATGCAGCTCTTTGACTTTCAGGCGCACCTGCTCCTGGGGATCCCTATGTTCCTTTTGGGCCATGGTGACTGCTATGCTGCCGTAGACGGCCGTGTTCCTCCACCTAGTGTGGAGATCATGGACGTTGGGGGCCTGCCCCCAAACCTCAATGAGGTCCATGACCTCTGCACTAGTCCAAGAGGGCACACGCTGTCTATGGCCCCTGGCTGGCCCCTGGGTGCTGTGGGACTGGGCGGGGGACGGCTGGCTGTCACTGGCTGCCTGGCTCATTTTGGGGCCACTGGGTGAGTGGCAGAGACTCCTGGAAGGAAAAATCATAGCTGGTGGGGAGAAAGTAAATGGGGAAGTGCTACTTATTCTACTTAACATTTAACCAGGGGTCATTAAGCACTCCACTATTTTGAATTAAAGTAAAAATAGCAGTTTGCATGTATAGACTCTATTGAAGTTAATTCGAAATAACTGCTGTTATTTAGAATTAACTTTGCAGTATAGACATACCCTTAGGCTATGTCTAGACTGGCATGATTTTCCGCAAATGCGTGAAAAGACTACTGTGCTGTCTACACTAGCCCTTTTCCGGAACAGTTTTTCCGGAAAAGGACTTTTGCCCGAATGGGAGCAGCATAGTTTTTCCAGAAAAACACTGACAATTTTACAGTAGATCGTCATTGCTTTTCTGGAAAAGTAAGCAGCCAGTGTAGACAGCTGGCAAGTTATTCCGGAAAAGCGACTGCTTTTCCGGAATAAGTGGCCCAGTGTAGACACAGCCTTAGAGACTAACAAAGAGTGTAGATGGTATCATGAGCTTTTGTGGGCACAACCCACTTCTTCAGATGACTGGAGTATTCAAAGTCCCTTCTGAAAAAATTTATGGTTGTTGATCATGATAGGAAATTAGCTAGTGCTATAATAACAACAACAACAACAGGTTGAACCTCTCTAGTCCAGCACCTTTTGGACCTGCCCGGTACTGAACCAGAGAAATTGCTGGACCACAGGTGGTCAATATTGTCTAGCACCACTTTCAACACTTCCACTGGTTGTTGGGCTGTTAGAAGACATTTAGGGGTAAATTAGAGCTAAATAACAGTGCAGTACACTGATAATCAGGACTGGTGGCTGTAAACAAACTTTATGAGACTACAGAAAACTTGACCACACCCATGGTGAGTGGACATCCAGCTAGCTAAAATCATGGAGGACCACAAAGGTTGCTGGACCAGAGGGTGCCGGACTAGAGAGGTTCAACCTATAACAAACAAACAAACAACAATAATAATAATAATATTGTGATGGAACAATAAAGGCCTATGCAACATTTCAATCATATGTCAGCCACTAAGGAACACCTTCCAGTTATATTAGAATCGGACCGTCTGTTTAGACAATGACTTCAGTTTTCAAAATCGCTCTCGTCTCCTAATGAGAATCCTTCTGAGTTACGTGTCTTCACTAAAAATCCCAACCTGGATGAATTGCACCTAATGTATTATCAATTATTTGCATCTGACAGATGAATCAATAGAGGAAGTTATAATTTTCTTTGAAACACCTTTCTTTCTTTTAATCTTAGATGTGGGTTTGGCACCAAGAATAAGCTACATTTTTGGCTGAGAATGTTTAGAATAGCATTAGTAAATGTAAATTTCACTACATACACACCCATGGAGGAAAACAATTTCTATTGATAAACATCAATATGCACAGATATGCAAAGGAAGCAAAAAACATTGATTACGAACATACTACAGTTTGATTTACGGATGCTTGCTTTGTATACCTTTGATGCTGACAGTTTGTGTTTTAAATTGCTGGGAAGATGTATATATAGTCAATAAACAATTATAGTCTAATCTCCCTACTATCTGACCCTGCAGAATTTCCTGCAATTATGAAAATTTAAATCAATCACCATTGAAAAGGAATAAATTCCATCACTTTGTACAACTGCCTATTGATGAATAGTTAAAATAGAAAGAAAAGAAACACTCCAACTATTGAACAGAAATATACGTTCTGTGAAGCTGAAACGAAAACACCTATCACACAAATTGGGAGACTAATACAATTGTCCCCAACAGAAATTTGCACAAGGAGCCTTCCCACCAAGGTGAGCGGCAAAATATTTTCACAAGCCACAGGAATCTGAGGCCAGTGCTACACATTTCAGAGGGGGCACCGGCAGAGTCTGCGTCTGCAAAACCAGCCCCATGGCATCTTAGATGTTTTCCAAAATATGGAGTTCTCCCAGCCCAACCAGAGGAGAGAAGGAGATGCAATAGACAACTAACATCTGAAATGCCATGGCGTGGAATGCAGAGCAGAGGACAATTCTGTTTTTAGGGTGGGTGGTACAATCTTTCGAATGGGAACGTAACCCTCCCAAAGTTTAGCCCATCCACACATGGCTGCAAGACGGCTTGCACTATCATGAGTTGAGGGCAGCCTAGCTTTTATGCCTATTGCTCCTTCCAGCAGGCCGATTCATTCCCACATCTACATAAGAACATAAGAACGGCTGTAGTGGGTCAGACCAAAGGTCCATCTAGCCCAGTAGCCTGTCTGCTGACATCTGTGGGTCCACATGAGTTCACATGGGCACCATACATTTATGGGCGACTTTTCTCAAGGCCCCCTTGACCTCCTTGTTTCTCAAGCTGTAGATGAGAGGGTTGATCAGGGGTGTCAGGACTGTGTAGAAGACAGAGAACGTTTTGCTCAGGTTTCTTAGCCTACTGGTGTCTGGGAACATGTACACAATGAGAATGGTGCCATAGAAAATGATAACCACTAGAAGGTGGGAAGCGCAGGTGGAGAAGGCCTTTTGCCTCCCAATGGTGGACGGGATTCTCAGGATGGTGCCGATGATATAAACGTAGGACATCAAGGTGAACAGGAACGGGAAAAGGGCAGTTACGGCCGTGGTGAGCAGACTAAGCCAGGTGATGAGTGTGATGTCATTGCAAGAGAGTTTGAGCACAGGGAGAAAATCGCAAAAGAAATGGTCAATTTCATTGGGGCCACAGAAGGTGAATCGGGACACAAAACAGATGATTAACGTACAGTTCAGAAAGCCGCTTAGCCAAGACCCAGCCGCAAGCTGGAGGAGAAGCCGGCCATTCATCAGGGTGGCATAATGCAGGGGTTTGCAGATGGCTAAATACCGGTCGTAAGACATGGCGGCGAGAAGAGAGCATTCTGTCGGTACCAGGGAGCCAAAGAAATACAATTGCACAATACAGCCCCTCACAGAGATGGCTCTGTCCCCCGTCAGGAGCCCGGCCAGCAGCCGGGGCAGGACGGTGGAACTGTAACAGACCTCCAAACAGGACAGGTTCCCCAGGAAGAAGTACATGGGAGTGTGAAGGTGCGGATCGGCCACCACCAACACCACGATGAGGAGGTTCCCAGCCATGGTCAAAATGTAGATCACTAGGAACAGCAGGAAGAGAAAAATGTGCAGATGAGGGAGGTTCCTGAATCCCAAGAGGATGAACTGAGTGATGACTGTTTGATTGTCTTCTTCTGTATTCTCCATTAAGGACAACTGGGTAAAGAGACAAACACAGGTGGAACCTCTCTAGTCCGGCACCTTCAGGACCCGAACCAGAGAAGTTGCCGAACCACCGGAGGTCAATATTGGAGTGTGTTCTTTTTATTTCACCAGAGCAAATAAACTGACCAATGCATGTAATGCTGTTCAATAATGTTTAATCATCCTTGTATACCCAGCCTACACATACCCATGGCCAATCAGGTCTCTTCATAACAGTGTCAGCATTGTCACACTATTTTACTGCATTGGAGCAAGGAAAGAAATACATAAAGCATAAAAAGCATTCTTAACGCTTAACAGCACTACCAACCCTTCCTCTGCTTGTTTGGCTCTTTAGGGGGTAATTTAGGGCTAAATAACAGTACAAAACACAGAGCCAGGACTGGGGACTGTAAACAAACTTCCTAGGAGTACAGAAACATGGCCACATCCATGACACGTGGAGATCCAGCTAACTCAAATCGTGCCGGACCATGGATGTTGCCAGATTAGAGAGTGCCGGACCAGAGAGTGCCGGATTAGAGAGGTTCAGCTTGTGCTAATTTGCAGAGATATAGCCTCAAAGATACAGTGATGAACTCCCATTGGTATAGGGTCAAATTATAAACATATTTAGGTACCAGAGGGATTTTCAAAAGCATTTAGATAGTTATACTCATGGTATAGCCAACTAGATGTCTAAATACCGCTGGAAATCTGATCTTTGATGAAGGCTTCAGGAAGCTGGCTCATGGAATATTTGAAGACCATTCACTGATTTTAAAATCTCACTAGATACCTACCTACATTTTAGGCACCTAAACACCATTAAAGTGTTGCTTGCTTTTACTGAATCAGCACCGTAAACGAGCTGTGTAAATCAACAACCCATCTGTGGTTCTGCAAGGACCAAATCCAGCCAAATTCAGCTTCTCTGAGAAGCAACAAGAGATCTCTCGTGAATAATTCCACCAGGACTAATTCTGAGCATGCAGGAATGATTTTTAATTGGTATAACAACTGAATGGGTGTCACTTGTCTAGGAAGCATTCCCAGTTTCCAGCTTTCTGGGTGATGTTGGAATCAGGACCTTTGAATGGGTGTCACTTGTCTAGGAAGCATTCCCAATTTCCAGCTGTCTGGGTGATGTTGTAATCAGGACCTTTGAAGGTGGAGTGGGTGAGGCAACCCCGCACTAGCTGCTTCCCCCCAGCAGACCAGGGAGACGCAAAGCTAGCACCCCTCCCAGCCGACCAGGGAGACGTGGAGCGGCTTTTCTCAGCAGACACCTCAGCTTGAGAATAAAGGACTGTGGGAAGTGAGGTGTGGGAGAATAAAACTGAGCTCTGGAGAAATGTTTGGCTAGAGTTTCCCCTACAATATGTACCAGTTCCGACTTACATACAAATTCAACTTAAGAACAAACCTACAGTCCCTATCTTGTACGTAACCCAGGGACTGCCTGTACATGTTTGGCATACATTCCTATGTATTATAACGTTTTCCTTGCTTCCGTCAATACATGTATGGGAACTGGGGAAGGTATCAGATACCACTTTTTACTTTAGGGGTGATTGGAAACTCATATTTTATTTGTTTCACAGAAAAAAATTGTTGATATTTTGTCAAAAAATTGACAGCCATGTTTTGTGGGGGACTCAAAATAGACGTTTTTCTACCAAAAGGTCAAAATTTGCCTTTTGACAATGTTTTGAGTTCAATTTTTTTGAATTTGTGTATGGGTGTGGTTGTGGGTTTTTTTTTTTAATTTTGTTTTGTTTTTTTGGTAACATTTCCCATGGAAAGCCAAAACTACTCATGGAAAAACTAGTTGAAAATCCCAATTTTCCATAAAAAATTCAGTAACAATTTCATGGCTCGCCTTTAACCAGTTATATTTAACACATTATCAAACATTAAGTAACATAATTCAAACAAGCTTTATAAAACCTTCCTATCTATCTATCTATCTATCTATCTATCTATCTATCTATCTATATTTTCCTCAAAGAAACGGATAAATAAGTAGTGAACCTGGATGAAGAATGTCACTGCACTTAACTGCCATTGATACATCCAATAAATTGTTGTGTGAACAAATCATCATTCAGTTTAGAAAAGCTATAATCGGGCTACAGAGAAGGTTTTGCCAACATGCAGGCACCTGTCCACAGGTCATATCTTCCCAAACCAGCTATTATTTTTCTTTATTTTTTCAAAAGAGCTGATACAGCTTGGCCCAGTAAAAATATGGCCATATGGGAAAAACAGTAAGATGGATTGAAAGCTGCCTCGATCATTGGCTCAATGTGTAGTGATCCATGACTCGATGTCTAGTTGGCAACCAGTTTCAAGCGGGGTGTCCCAAGGGTCGGTCCTGGGGCCAGTGTTCTTGAACATCTTTATGAATTACCTGGCTGAGGGGTTGGATTGCACCCTCAGCAACTTTGCGGATGTCACTAAGCCAGGGGGAGAGGTAGATACGTTGGAGGGCGGGGATAGGGTCCAGAGTGACCTAGACAAATTGGAGGCTTGGGCCAAAGGAAATCTGATGAGGTTCAACAAGGACAAGTGCAGCGTCCTGCCCTTGGGATGGAAGAATCATAGGCCCTGCTACAAGCTGGGGTCCGACCAGCTAAGCAGCAATTTGGCAGAAAAGAACCTGGGGATTGCAGTGGAAGAGAAGCTGGAGAAGAGTTAACAGGGCGTCTTTGTAGCCAAGAAGGCTAATGGCATATTAGGCTGCATTAGGAGATGCATTGCCATCAGATCTAGAGAAGTGATTATTCCCCTTTATTCAGCACTGGTGAGGCCACATCTGGAGTACCGTGTCAGCAAAGATGAGGACACATTAGAGGGTCCAGCGGAGGGCAACAAAAATGAGTGAGGGGCTGGAGCACATGACAGGAGAGGATGAGGGATTTGGGCTTCTTTATTCTGCAGTAGAGAAGAGTGAGGGGGGATTTGAGAGCAGCCTTAAAGAGGGATTCCAAAGAGGATGGAGAGAGGCTGTTTTCAGAAATGACAGATAACAGAATGAGGAGCAATGGTCTGAAGTTACAGTGGGGAAGTTCTAGGTTGGATATTAGGAAAAACTATTTCACTAGGAGGGTGGTGAAGCACTGGAATAGGTTACCTAGGCAGGTGGTGGAATCTCGACGCTTTTCCACAAAAAGTGCTTTTGCGGAAAAGCATCCTGCCAATCTAGATGCGATTTTTCCAAAAATGCTTTTAACGGAAAACTTTTCTGTTAAAAGCATTTTCGGAAAATCATGCCAGTGTAGACGTAGCCCTGGAGTATTGTGTCCAGTTCTGGGCCCCCCACTACAGAAAAGATGAGGACACATTGGAGAGGGTCCAGCGGAGGGCAACAAAAATGAGCGAGGGGCTGGAGCATATGACAGGAGAGGCTGAGGGATTTGGGCTTCTTTATTCTGCAGAAGAGAAGAGTGAGGGGGGAATTGAGAGCATCCTGAAAGAGGGATTCCAAAGAGGATGGAGAGAGGCTGTTCTCAGTGGTGGCAGATGCAGAACGAGGAGCAATGGCCTCAAGTTGCAGTGGGGGAGGTCTAGGTTGGATATTAGGAAAAAAACTACTTCATTAGTAGGAGGTGGTGAAACACTGGGATGGATAACCTAGGGTAGTAGTGGACTCCAAGTTGCAGTGGGGGAGGTCTAGGTTGGATATTAGGAAAAAAACTACTTCATTAGTAGGAGGTGGTGAAACACTGGGATGGATAACCTAGGGTAGTAGTGGACTCTCCCTAGAAGTTTTTAAGTCACAGCTTGACAAAGCCCTGGCTGGGATGATTGAGTTGGGGTTGATCCTGCCCTGGGAGGAGGGTTGGAATCGATGACCTCCTGAGGTCTCTTTTATAATTCTGATTCTATGAAGTAGTGATGAAAACCCAAAACAAAAGTGCGCTGTATCTCATTCTTATACTAAACTTAGAAAACTGAAACACTGTTGTGCTTAAAAGTTAGTGTGAAATATCAAAGAGCAGAACCCAATACAAGCAATCAAATAAACTGTGAAACTCTAGGGAAGGCTTAAAAACTAAGAGTGAGAGACGGACAAATAGGTCCTGTATCCTCCAACGGGCTTATAAAACCACAAACAAAACAAAAAAACAAAGCACATTACATTTTTGATGGAAAAATTTCGACCTTACCTAAAATTTACCTTTGGTTGTGAGTACGAAGTGGTTAGCGATGGGAGGAATCACAGATTTCTCAATGGTGACTGTTTTCCACTATCAGTCTCTTATCGTCTTCTTTGTACATGCTCACTGTTAATGTTCTTTTCTAATATTTCCTTGATGAGATGTCCTGCTATCCTAGGTACTCCATTTGGCTTTGCGTGTTACACCAAAGCCCTGCATATGTTTTCTCTGGGTTATTATAGGCTTTGTAAAAGAAAGAAGCCCCTCCCAGACAGTTGGTGATAGAAAAATCACAACGGAAACCGATTGCATGTCTTTATATTTAAATTAGCCTAATGCTTGACTATATGCTATTTTGCATTTCCAAAGAGAGCAATTGATTAGACTGACGGCAACATTGCTACAAATATCCCTGAGAAATAATTTCATTAAGTCCACATTTTCAGGTGGGACTAGCGTACAGGACTGACACGATTATGTGAGACGTCGGTTGGGATTTTCACTGGCCTTGATGAGTATTAACCATCCAACTCCTTTGTGGAGGTGTGGGGGTGTCAGGCACCTACTTTTCATGGCCTCTTGGAACATCCCAGCCTGCGCTGATAGATGCATGGAGGGTTTCAAGAAAAGGACAAGACTTAAACATTTACAGGACAGTCGAGTTTTTGATGGTTAAAAGGGTTCTATTGAAAGGACTCTCAGCCTATGTCTACACTATCAGAGTTTTTCTGAGATACTGGAGCTATCCTGGAAAAACTCTGCCACGTCCAGAGAACGCATCCACTTTTTTGGAAGTTTCCAGAAAGTGGGTACGTTCTTTCATGAGCCTTGCATTCCCCA